CGATTTAATAAACTCATTTGAAGATTATTTAAACATTTCTCTTTTTTTTTAAAGATCATGGGCTATTCAAGAGAATACATCATGCAATGAAACCGAATATATTCGAAAAATTTTACTTGATGAGCAGAAGAAAGGTCGTACTCATTTATTAGTTGGATGTAATATTGGCAATCTTTTTACCGTTATAAATAAGGTATATGTTATAATTATTATTTTATAAATTTGATATTAAGTTTAATTAAATATTAAATAGGAAATTTTTTTGTTTTTTAAATAAAATTTTAACTAATCATTTATTATTTTTGATTCAATCTTAAATATTCTAATTATTATTATTATTGTCATTATTATTACTATTTTTTATGCTATTAAAATAAGCAAATCATATCGATCTGTTTAATTCAAACCGATACATTCTAAAATTTTATGAAATATGTTAATTAGATTAATCAATTGTGTTACTAATTAATGATCAATTTAATTACTCATTAATTTAACATACACATTATGAGATAATATTGTTTAAATATATTATTATTTAGAATTTACATTCAAAATTTGTGAATGAGAGAATTTTTTGATAAATAAATTCAATCATTTCCGCATTTGAGAATGCTACTACAATATGCAAACCGGAAATAATTCATGAAGAGGAAAAGGAAGCAACAGATGATGATACTACGACAACAGCTCCGGAATATGTATGTGAACTTCTTATGAAGGATATTCAACTTGATGAATTACCGGTTGAAATTGAGCAAATGGAAGAATGTAAGCAAATGAAAGTATTAACTGAGAAGGAATTTACGGATGAAATAGAAATGCAAAAGGAAACATCAAATATCACAAATCTTATTAAGACATCACCTGAAAAGGTATTTTAATTATCTTTCATTTCTTATCATTCACATCATATTTCATTCATTTATCCATCTCTCTCTCTCTCTCCCTCTCTCTCTCAATATGATCATAAGATCAATATTTCACAAATATCTGGAGTTGATTAATTAACCTTAGACCAAGTAATTGTATCATTATATTAATTAAAATAGTTTATATATGTTATGCAATACCAATTATTTATCTTCCTAGTAGATTTTTTCTTCCTTTCTATATTTGAAATTTTATTTTTTTTTTTAAATTGTTAAATTAAATTTTAAAAAAGATGAAATTTGATAGCACAAATATTTCTTTTAGGGTATTCTATGTCATAATAAAGTGAAAAAAGCAGCAAGAAAAGTAGTTTTTGATCCGTTAGCATTATTATTGGATGCAGCACTGGAAGGTGAAATGGATTTGGTAAAATCAAGTGCTGCTAAGGTTGTTTTGCTTTTTTTTTTTTTAAATTTTTTGATTTTCAATCATAATTTCAAATTAAAAAGAAATTTTTACTTTAGCATAAAATGAGAATTTTTCAAAATATTCATTTGCTATATTCTAAAAATTTCATCTTTTGCCAGAAATAATTATAATAATTTCGATATATATATCATAATTTTTGTATCTTTTGTTTTACTTACAAAATTACACAGTAATTACAGATTGAATTATCGATTAGTTTACTTAAATTAAATATTTACTTAATTTAAGGAACAAAAATATATTTATAAATTCATATTTCTTTCCTTCTTTAGCTGCCAAATATATCAGCGTGTAATGACGAAGGTATCACTGCGCTTCATAATGCAATTTGCGCTGGTCATTATGAGATTGTACGTTATTTGGTGGATTCATTTGCTGATGTAAATGCGCAAGTATGTTAATTTAATATTTCAATTGAATTTATAATTTAGTAAAATGTTAAAATTTTTCTCTAAAATTAATATTAATTAAAAAATTTTTTAAATTTACAATAAAATATTGTCATAATTTTATCTTAATTTTTTGATTTTTTCTCTTTGTACGTTTTTTTTTTTTTTTTTTTTTTTAACTTTTAATTATTAGAATTTAAACTTTTTACATTATAAATTAATTTTAAAATTCTTAGCAAAGAAGTTTTTTTTTAATTTTTATTATTTTTACATTTACATTATTCTTTTATTTTATTGCATTTCAAAATTAAAAATATTATTTTCTATTTGTTACACTGTGAAATTCAAAAAAAAAAAAAAAATATATTTGCATTAATATATTTAGGATTCAGATGGTTGGACACCGCTACATTGTGCTGCATCATGCAATAATTTACCAATGGTAAAATTATTAGTTGAAAATGGCGCTTGCATTTTTGCGCAAACATTATCAGATTTAGAAACACCAGCTGAAAAATGTGAAGAGGATGAAGATGGCTATGAAGGTTGTCAACTCTATCTGAAAGCAGCTAATCAAGAAGCTGGAATTATCAATAATGGATTTGTAATTTTTCATTTTCTCTTTTTTTTTTTCAAAAAAAAAAAAAAATTTTTCATTTTTTCTTTTTTTTTTTAAATTTATCATTTTACTGTAATATATTTGTTATGCTTTTTTCATGGAAATTTTTTTAGCTAAAACAAAACTTTTGAACTATTTTATCTTTACTTTTTTTTTTTTTTAAATAAATTATTGATTTGTTTGTTTGTTTGTTTTCTTTTATATTTTTATTTATTTAAATTTTAATTTTGTTAAAAATTTGACTAATTAATAAAATAAATTAATTTTTTTTTTTCTTTTTTTGTTTTTCAGATGTATGCAGCATATGATTATGATAAAGTGCAAGATGATGAATTAAGTTTTTCAATTGGTTCATGTTTACGTGTCCTAGAAAAAGATACCAATGATCATGCATGGTGGTTTTGTGAAATTACAACAACCGAAATTTGTGATAATGAAAGTGAAATATCAAAACGAGGCTTGGTACCACGAAATTATCTATCACTTTATCCAAGCTTATCAAAACGAAGTGCTAATTTTCAAATGTTTGATTTATCACAATTACCAAGAATTCATGATTCAAAAAATGATAATATAGATGTGAAAGAATGGCGAACGAGTAATTCAGTAATTGAAAAAATTACTGAAAAAAATGATGATGAAGCAATTGTTGAACAAACATTACCAATTACTGTTTCATAGAATAATTCTTTCTTTTTTTTTTTTTGTATGTGTGTAAATTTTCTATGCGGTATTGTCGCATATATGAAAAAATTTATTTTGTCTAAGGATATATTATAATAAATTCATAATTTATTGAAAGTATTAAAATTATTGAAATGATAATGAAATTTTTATCAATTAAAAAAAGAATTTGGTAAGATTAGTTATTTAAATATAAATTTATACTTAGTATATTTAGTTAGTATATAAGTTTTATATATTTTTTTTGCCTTTATGCTAATAACTGTCTTTTTTTTGGCTAATTTTAAATGCAAATTAGCAATTTTGATTTTTTTTTTTTTTTTTTTGCAAGCATTCAACAAATACTTTCACAGAAAAGTCTTTTTTTTTTCATCTCTTTTAAAATATTTTGTATTTAATTCTATACTTTCCTATCGCTTTAATATTCATAAAGTTAGCATTTATTAATCGATTCATTTAGATTTTTTCGTAAACAATAGAATTAGCGTTAAAATTTTGATTAAATTTTTAATTTTAAACTTATCATTTGAACTTATCACTATGATATCATTGATATACTTTGAAAATATTCAAATTCTGGTTTTATTGAATCAAAAATTATTATATTATGGAAGTTTTTTTCAAGTTTTTTTCTTTTCCTCTTTTTTGTTTTTTAATTCCTACCTATCTCGGTGATTATCAGTTTTATCCCACTCTTTGTGTACTGTTTTTCATTTCTTATCAATACTTATCATTTCATATATTCACTGATTCACTGATAATTATTCCTTCTCCTTAATAAATATACTTCTTAAACGTTGTATATATATTTATGTTTTTTTTTTTTTTTTTGCTTATTTAAATTTCAGTTATTTCTTTCTGCTTTTCAATAATTTGTGCATTTTTAAACTATTAGTTAAATTATTTGAAATTTTTGCTCATTTTAAATTTTAATACAGTTTGAATGATGTGAAAATTTTTTTTATCAATTTTTATTTATTTCATTCTTCTAAGTGCTAAAAAAAAAATGAAGAAAATAAATTTCGAAAATTTTAAAAGAAAAAAAAAATTATTCTCATTGTTTGTATATAAGAAAGTACTCTTTTTAAATTTTTGTTTCATTTATTCTTCCTCACAATAAACATTTTCAGTAACATAAAATTTGAATATAACTTTGCAAAAGTAAAAAGAAATGAAGATAGATCATGCAGCTAATTAATTTATTAATTAATTACTCAAGGTATTTCCAGTAATTTCCAGATAATTTGGTGATAATAATTAATTCATACGTGAAGTTTATTTATTGCAAAAAATGCTTCAAATAATTTTAGTATTCCGGAAGTTTCATTATATTAAATTTATGTTTGATGTAATAGCTAGCTATCCTATGATAGTAATCAAACGAAACACTTTGCACAGATTAATTAAATTAGCAACGAAAAACTTTGATAAGTACGCAAGCTTTAAATTTCAATACTATTTGCAATTATATTTGACAGCAAACTGATATATAAGTGAATTTAATTAAAGTTAGAAAAATCATTGTATATAATAAAAATTTATCAAATAATATATTGAAATAGTAAGTTAATATATCTATTTGTATTTTTATAAATAATATATTAAAATATATATTTTAAGTAATAAGCTAATATATATTTTAAATAGTAAGCTAATATATATATTAAATAGTAAGCTAATATATATATTTGTATTTTTTTTTTTTTTGTTTTATTTATTTCACTTTAAAATAATTTTATTGTTACTGACAGAAATAAAAGCAAATATTGCCTGCAGCAATTTTTCTGTCCGATTAACTTTACTCTTGTCTTGGCTCATTTAAGCCATTCCGTTTTGAGGCAAAAGTAAAAGTAAAACATAGAAGTAGCAGCTTTAAATCTAAAACTAAATTAAATTTGATTTCATCTATCTAATAGATGGTGAAATGAAAGAGGAGGAGGGATTCATCATTTTTCCAACCAACCAACCAATCTATCTATTCCGTCCCTCTCTCTCTCCCTCTCTCTCTCTCCCTCTCCCTCTCTCTCTCTCTCTCTCTCTCTCTCTCTTTCTTCTTTCTGAATTATTTTCATCAACAAAATCTACTCATGCAACTCCTATCCATTTTCCTTCCGTACATTTCATTAATTCTTCCATCATTAAATCCTGCACATCCTTAACGCTTCCCTTTGATATATTTCCTTCCTTCCGTCCGTCCGTCCTTCCGTCCATCCATCCGTCCGGAAAACCTAACTTCATCCATCCTTTAAATTATTAACATTGTATTGAATTGAAAATTTATTGTTTATTGTTTTATTATTACACTCATTAAATTAGTAATAATGTTTGATTCATTTTCAACATTTTTAAACAATTTCATTGCTCCATTTTTTTTTTTCACTTTTTTTTTTGAAATTTCATTAAGTTTTCTTCCAATAATTTTTTTTTTTTTTTAAAAAAAGAAAGATATGTTATTATTTTAATAAATAAATATTCCATCAAATTTTTCAACACAAATAATTCATTTTCATTTCAAAAATTTTTCATCTTTTTCAGATCAATTTAAATTTTTCGTTAGCAATCAGGTCGGTCTGATTAGCATCATTCCCATCTGATCATCGATTGATTTGATCGATCAGTCTTATCGATAAATAAAATTCTCACTATCTTATTATCACTATTAACTCATATATTCCATATAGAAGAAAAATATACTAAGAATGTATATTTAAAAAAAAAAAGATTGAAAAAAAAATACGGAAATGAAGGAAAGACTTGAAATTTACGAAAGAGTCTGCCTGATTATATTAGCATTTTTCCGGAATTTTAAAATATTGAATACAATTTCCAATATTGATTTTATTCTGTGAAAAAAGAATTTTTTCGTGAAATTATCAAAAAAAAAAAAAAAAAAACTGAGCAGAAATATGAATTTAAAAATCTTTTTTTTTACAAATTATTGGACAGAAATAATATCACTTTTGCTATGATAAAATGTTAATGAAAATTTTGAAAAAAATCAATAAAATAAATTCAAAATTTAATCATTTCTTTCTATCAGATTATTATTATAAACAATTTGAAAGAGGGACAGAGAGAGAGAGAGAGAGAGAGAGAGAAGAGAGAAAGAAAAAGACGGAAATTTTATTTTCTGAAACAAATCTCAATCAAATAGTGCTTGCAGGTGATCTTGTAAAAAAAACTTCACGATATTTTTTTTTTTTTTGAAAAAAAAAAAATTAAAATTGAAAAGCTAAATTGAGAGCATTTGCATTTGTATCGTTTGTAAATGACTAGAAGAAGCATAAACACAACAAAGTTTAAAATTGAAAATTATTAGAATTTGTAAACGAACGAATAGGAAAAGATGAAAAGAAATTAGATGGAGAAATTGAAATGAATTTTTCGCTTTCCTTTTTCTTCTTTTTTCTTTATTTCTATTCTCTCTGGTTGAGTGGCATTGAAATGAAATGGAATGAAATGAAATGAAATGAAATGGAATGGAATGAAATGAAATGAAATGAAATGGAAGAGCAGAAGATATAATTGAAATATTTAAAGCTTAAATAGGATTACATACCGTTTTAGTTGCCGTTTTCATCAAGCAATGATGCATTTAATTTCATCGAGAAAGAACGAAAGAAAAGAAAAAACTTAAATTTCTCTTTGTTTTAGATTATAAAAAAAAAAAATTGTTGACAAGGTGACATGTGACAACTATTCGAGAGAAATAATATCAAAGTAATAATTCATTTGTGATTTTTATACTTTGCTTTTAAAATTATAGGGTGAAAAAATTTTCAAATTTCACATTTTTATTATTTTATTATCCTCTTTTTGCTTTTTTTTTTCTTGGAAAAATTTAAATTCTTTATTGAGTTACTTTGCTCTTTTTTTCTCGTTATTTGTAATTTGGAATACTAACAAATATTGGAAAGTGATTAAACAATAAACATTTCCATATTATCAATTATTATATTTAAATGTTTTATTTTTTGAGTTATTTCATTCCTTTCTTTTTTTCTTATTCTTTTTTTTTTTTTTGTTAATATATTTAACTTACAGTGTTGAATGAAAGTTAAATAATTCATCATTATTTAACTAGTAATTAACTCAGTGATAAGTGATAGCAGATGATAAAATTGATCACATCGAATTGAGTTAATCAAGATAAATCAACTTTTCGTTTTTTTGTTGATATATTTAACTTAAAGTGTTAAAATGAGTTAATGGTAATAGTGATAAGAAAGATAAAATTGATCATATCAGATTCAATTAATCACGATAAATAAACTTCGTTTTTTGTTGATATAATCGACTTAAAGTACTGAATAAAAGTTAACTAATGATAATAATAGTTAAATTAGTGATAAGAAATGACAAAATTGATCATATCAATCTCAGTTAATCATGATAATCATGATAATTAAAAACTAGTAATGCTAGTTATAATGTAATGGCGGGCGGTAATAATAATTAATGGTGGCGGTGTTGCCATAGGTACCTAAATGATATTGTCCTGCTTGATCAAATGCTACAACTCATTTAATGAAATTGAAATTGCTATAGTCATTTATGTGATTTCATCGAGAGTTAAATTATTCAAATGAAATGACTGCTTGTTAATTAAATGATCGAATGGTAATCTCATAAAGAGCGAAAAGGATTGAAAATTGCTTATTGAAATGGAATAATTATCAACTCATCTACCTTTAAATATTACCTTTATCTACCTTTTTAGTTAATATAGCATTTACCTTCCTTATTGTTGCTTATAGATATTTCTCGCAGAATGCTATTCGTTTTCCTTTCTTATTGTATGTTGTAATTTTGCTTAGCAAATAAGATTTATGTTGTTGAATAAGAAATGATTGTTATTTTCTAATCATTCGTTTATTTAAGCAAAGAAAAAAAAATTCAAAAAACATTTAAATGAAAAGAGTAACATGTTTAAAATGAATATGTCATCAATGTTTTTGTAAAAGAAAGAGTTTAATTAAAATTAGTAAAATTTAATGATATAATTAAAATCAGCAAATTAAGTTAGTACTATCGTAGTAATCGTAATTATAACAATTATAATGCTATAAGTATTACTTTATAATACAATTATAAAATAAGGTATAAATTATTTGAATATTGTTAATGTGATAGTAAATAACAAATACGTCATATTATCAGTTTAAATGATTAATTTTACAACTGATAACACATAACATTTACATATTTATTACGTCATTCATTAATTAAATCAGAAATGAAAAATGAAATCGAAAAGTTTGCAATAAACAAAGATAGGAAATTGAATGTTCAAATTTATAGTTAATATTAATGTTAAAAGATGAAAGAGACCGAAGAAATTTTTCAATTAATTTTTGAACAATTTTTTTTTTCTTGAATTAATAAATTCACTCATTTTTTTCCTGAATTCATAAAATTACTAATTCTTTTCTTGAATTAATAAATTTAATACATTCACTCGTTTTTTCCTCGAATTCATAAATTTACTACTTTTTTTTTTTTTTTTGATTTAATAAATTTACTGGGTTTTTTGCTGAATTAATAAATTTACTACTGTCGTAAAAATAAATCAAATTTACGCGTCTTACGTGTATGTGATTGTATGTGTCTGTGTGTGTATGTGTATGTATGTGTCGGTGTAAATATATATTATAAATAAGTTATGCGTGTTATGCTGTAAATAGCTATTACTGTAATTCAATAACAAATAAATATATTTAAAGTTAGTAAATATTAAATTCACAAATGAATCGACTTTTTTTTCCATATTTTCTTAACTTTTTCCTTAAATTTTTTTTTTTTTTGTTATTTCATCATTTTAATTGAAATTTTATCTTTTAAATGGATATTTCATTTTATTTTACTTTTTTTTTTAAAAAAAATGATTAAAATGGAAAAAAGAAAAAAAAAACAGAATTATTTCTCAAATCAAGCAATGAATAAAATAATGAAAAAGAAGAGAAAATGAAACTTTAAAAAAAAAAAGTGTGAAAAATAATAGAAAAATCATTTGCAAATCCCCCGGGATAATTCAGAAATATTACAAATATCAAAGAAAAAAAAAAAAAAAAACTTACTCAAATACTCAAAGTACTATTATTTATAGGTAAAAAAAATTTAATTATTAATTTTGTAATGAATAAAAACAAAAAAAAAAGACTAAAACCAATTTTCAATTATTTAAATATTTCAAAAAAAAGAAATGATTAAATAAGTTATTCAATTCTAAATCATTTTAAAAATTTTAAACAAATATAAATTTATTGAATTGCATTTCAAATGATAAATGAGCAATGAGAACCAAAAAAGCTATCATTTTGTTGTTTTTTAATTTAATTTAATGTTTGCATTCTATTAAAGTAATTATTTTATGGAACAAAAAACAAAAACTTTTGTTTTTCTTTATTTCCTAAATTTTGGGAAAAGAGAAATTTCAAAAAAGAATTTTTTTTTAAAAAAAAAAAAGCAAATAACATCAATTATAAATCTTATAAAAATATTTCAATTATTCATTGCAATGTAAATTTTTTTTTCTTTTTTAAATTTAAAAAGAAAAATATATAAAATTGTTTTTTTTTTCTTATTTTCGTTGTTTAATTAGTTTTGATTAATTTTTTATGATTTTATTTTATTTATTTATTTATTTTTTCTGTTATAAATTGCTTAAAATAATACTAAAAAGGCATACTTTTTGAATTTATCCGATAATTTTTGCAGAATGATTTTTATTCTCAGTGAGTAATTTGCATAAATTTATTTGCATTTTTAATACATAGCACTAATGTTCTTACTACTTGTTAATTTGATCGAAGCATTTACTAATTTTAATATATTTTCATTTCATTTCATTTCATTTCATTTCATTTCATTTCATTTCATTTTCATTTCATTTCATTTCATTTCATTTCATTTCATTTTATTTTATTTCATTTCATTTCATTTCATTTCATTTCATTTCATTTCATTTCATTTCATTTTCATTTCATTTTCATTTCATTTCATTTCATTTCATTTCATTTCATTTCATTTCATTTCATTTTCATTTCATTTCATTTCATTTCATTTCATTTTC